GTTCCAAGGTTAATTACTTTCAAGCTTAAGATTCTCTGCTTGCTTAGTAGTCTGAAGTTGACTGAACTCAGTGGTATTTCTTATACTTTGCTCCCCAAATTATAATGCCTATCATGGGGCTTTTCCATTCCAATTGTAAACCATGGATTGTAAAGTAAAATTTCCTGTGCATTAGAAGGGAAGCTCAGAGTGTTGAGTAGAAGGCCTACAGCTGCATTGTGATTGTCCTTCAGGATGTGGTCAGGTTTGCAACTGCAGAAAATGTGCTGTGGAACAGCAGAATGCCTCTTAGAGAAGGTGCATCCTTCAGCTGTGGTTGTGATGTTTGTACATTTCAGAAATAAATCTCCAAGGAGAACCTGCTGTATGGTTATTGTGTAACATTGCAGAGTTGTATATGAAAATTGATTTCCTTAGCTAATGTGAGTTATTTAATGTATGCTTTTTGAAAATCAACATTCTCCTAGGAACACATGTTAAAAGTTCTTCAGTGTATGGAGTTCAGTTTATGCACTGAAACAAAGAAATATTGCTTTAATGAAAAGAGTTTCCATGCAGAATTTATATTTCGCCATATACTTGTTTAATTGTTTTCAATATACAGCTGATCTTTGAATAATGAAATGTGTGATAAGGACTGCATTAAGAGAAAAAAACTGCTTATAATACACAACATTTCCCATGTACTGAACTTGGAGGCCATAAAATCTAAATTAAAAAGCTCTATGTTTTCAAGCAATGGCACTTCAAAAATTTCAAGCAAAAACAATTAAAGTCTGATCCTATTATATATCCTATTATCTGAATGCATGTAGGTACATGCTGTGTGCTAGTCCAAAAATTAGATTTAAAATGAAAGCATGCCTTTAAAATTGTTGGAGATCATATAATAAGAAGGAGAGCTTCATAAGATTGCATATCTACATATTAACTTTGTCTGGTGTTGCAAGTATCACAGTATGAATCTCTTTATTCCAGTGTACGGAGCATCTGTATGATTTCTGCATGGTGTGCTAAATTGTGTCAGAATATTGCAGAGATAATAGGTGGAAATTACTTAAGTGCATCTTTTCCCTTTAATGTACAAGGTTTAGTGAGGCCTTTTAATGAGGAAAACACTGGATTGATCATACCATGTATATAAAAATTGCTGGAAATTAAGTTTTAATGCAGTGAGAAGTTTAGAGTTATTAGAACAATTTTTGTTGCAAAGCAGACAAGGAAGAAAGTAAATTGCATGCATATCTAAAAATTGGTAAACAAAGCTGTAAAATTTTAATTGAAAGAAAAGTCATAACATTCGTCACATAGCGTTGTTGCCACATAGAATTTTATTCTTAAATGTCAACTCAAGGCTAGGGTTTTTTACAATCCTCTCAGATCAGAAAATTAAAATTATTAATATCAATATTTTCCTATATCACATTTTGATGAAACCATACTTTTCAGGAACAGAAAACTTTTCAACATGAGGGATTTTCACTTTTAGCTAGCAGAGTGAACTCCTTTGCTGGGAGCCATAACTAAGCTTTTGATGGTCTGTTCCTTTTGCTGTGAAGTTGGTAGCCCAGCAAATGGGATCCCATTCATTGTAAGGTGCTTGTAGGTTCAGTCTGGAGTGCAGCAAATGATCGGAAACCAAACTTGGACGGTGCTTGATTGCAAAAAAAGCCTTGGCACTGGTTAGCTCATAAGTTTGCCAGCTTTATATGTCATCTCTGGAAAATGCTTCCGTTTCAGTAGTGCATTTCAGCATTTGCTGAGGATTCTGTCATGTTCATTGCTGCCTGAGAGGAGGCTACTGGGATTGCGTCTGGGGATTGTTTCTCCATGCTCTGACAGCAAAGTTTCTCACAGACTTCCTTGGTATGCAATTTTTCATCTGGAAATACATGCTCGTTGGTGGCAGTAGGCTCATCTTCCTCAATTTATTAAAAAGGAATAGGTGACTTCATTGTTTTGTCAGGGCCAGCTGGTGTCACCGTGGTTTCCCTAAGATAGGGAAACTTCTGAATATAGAGAAGGTAATATAGACAATAAACTTTGAGTAGTCCCAGGCAGTGAATAACCATTTTGTTGGGACAACTGTTCTTATTCTGCTTTGGGCTAGAGTGGGTTTCCTGTTTGTTACTGTGGTTTTGCTGTGCTTTGAACCATGTATGTCAAGCATCGACAGGAATTCTCCTAAGTAATACAAAACTATGTAACCATTACCACATATATCTCTGGTATATAAATTTACATATTTTTTTAAAGCAGAATATTTCAAGATTATAAAAATAAATGATTGCTTTTTGTGATGTAGCTGTGCAAAGTTTTTTGGTTTAAATGCAAACAGATTGGAATTCATACTTCTGTAACTATCAACTTCAAAAAACTGTGGGTATGTAGTTTGCAGAAGCCATTTCAAGTGGTTATTGCACATATTTCAGAGCAGGTGAGAAAAAAGCTTTTGTTTTAACTATCTGTGCTGCTTGAGGCCATTGTGCTGGTTTGGCTGGGGCAGAGGCAATTTCCTTCATCATAGCTACACTTTGGACTTATACCAGTCCATAGTCCCATGCTAACTACTATATCATGAACAAAATTAACTTTATTCCAGATAAAATCAGCACACTAATGCTCTGTAAGCTTTGGAGCAGGTTGCATAGAGTGGAATGTGGATACTTACTAATGGCAGGACTTCCTTGAGCTTTCAGGTTTGCTGGGCATGCTGCCTTTTCCTGTGAAAAGTCTGTTCATAGATCCAGTTTAGATGAGTCTCCTGCAGATAATTGAATAACAATAGTGATCATATGGCAGTTCTGGGCATGAACATGAATAGATCAGCTCTGTAATACACTCAGCACTCAGCAGTATATATGTGCTCAATCAGGGATGTGCTGTTGGCAGTAGGAAGCTGGAGCCTCCCCCATCCATAAAACATCTGCCTCTTATGCATGTGTGTTAATATGCATATCTATGGCAATAAATTTACTGTACAATATCTATTTTTTGGTTTACACATGGTGATTTTTGTGGTTGGTTCCTGTGTTTCACTTGGGAAAGTGAGATGCTAAGAGAAAGTTGTTTGGCTCCAATGTGATGTACAAAAATCTGCTTCTGGTCCCCTCCTTTCCCAGCACTTCTCATGTTTTTAGCTCTGCCTTCTGGAAAATCATTCCAACAGAAGTGTGCTCTTGTTGGTCACTCTCCTTCCCAGGAGCCTGTGGGAAAAGTACATCACTGTGTAAGGAGCCATAAAAGAGGGTCCTGTAAGGAGTTTTTGCTGCATGCCTAGAGGTGAGGACAGGCTATGGACTGATGATGGCACTGGCAAGTAACAAGTGCTGTGTCAAATATGGCTGCAGGGCTCCCACACTGATCACTTGACCTGTGCATAAGTGGTAAATCCTCTCTGTGTATGTGCTGGTGCTGAGGGTCTCCTGGCCAGAGTTATGATAACCCTGGGTAATGGCCCTTTGTTTTTCAGTTGTTTTATCAGGTGCTTCTTTTGATATGCTGGTTAACATAAGGCTTCTGGCTTTTGAGGTGTTGCAGTGAACCACAGGTGGTCAAAAAAAGGTCTAGTTTTCATATCTGACCTTCACTTATCCCCATCTCTGCTACTGCAAGCTGCTTTTCAGGGATATCTTTGTTTCCATTTACAGCATCTGTGCTTTTCTCTCCACAGGTAATTTGATGTGTACTGTCAACTCAAAGCTGGCATTTTGGTTTGCCTTCTTGCTGTCATTTCCCATTAAGTATATGTTCTACAGAAATCCAATTTTAAAAATTTGATTTCTGCTGTCCCCTTTTTGCAGAAATTATGTTCCTTGAATGCTGCAAATAATTTGTATATCTTTAAATAACAACCAGCTGTAGCAATGAGAAGCTACTGTATCTGCCGATGCATTCCTGGGTTTCTTCGGGTTCTCGGTGAGGCTGTAGGTGCTTTCTTTACTCAGTGGCAGATGCACAGCTTGTGCACAGCTCTTAGGATTGCTTTCTGATAAATTTGGGCTGTGAACACATTCTCTGTAACTCTCAGATACTTCAGCCTCTGCAGACTTCACATACTTATATTCAGGTAGTCTAAAGTGTCTACATTATCATTGCGAAACCCACAGGGTGAAATCTGAGAAGGATGCAGAGCCTTGCAGAGGTTCATATCAGCTTCACAAGGATAAATGCAAGCACTAGGACCAAGACAATGAGCAGAAAGTTAAGTAGCAGATTGAGACCCCTGTTGTTGGCAAGATCCATAATGTGCATCAGTCTGCCCTCTTGTGCCTGCAGCAGACTCTTAATTGTAGTTTAGGGCTGCTCCTTCATTAGTAAGCTGTGTAGGTTCACATGAATTTCCTTGTGTCCATGGCTCTTCCCTTGGTTTTTAGTTTCTGCCAATTAAGAAGAAAATGGTATGCTTAAAATAGCTAGTTGTTTAGTTTTTTTTTCTGGAAAAGTATTCTGGATGCTCCTGCTGCAAGTCTTTTTTCTCAAATACCTTAAAAATAAAATTAAATAAAATTAAGGTTAATGATAACTTTCATTCCAGTACTTTTCTGAAAAACTAATAATAGGAGGAAGGACTTGAATTTTCTCATAGAGTTTGACACTTCACTGACTTTATCAATGTGTATGGTACTTTCCAGGCCCATCAAATTTTCAGAAGAATAAATGTTCTCAAGACTTGGTCTCTTTCAACAGACTGTTGAAAATTTACTTCAAAAATACCTCTATTGGAGAAACACCCCTCTGCTTTCTTATCTGGGCAAAATGTCTGTCTGTTAATAGAAGTATTTCTTACCCTTCTAGGGTTTGGCATCGTGCACTGCAGCCGTGTTTAGCTGGCAATGTGCTTTCTAAGGCCCACTGCAGTCTTGCAAATGCCTTACCAAGAATCTGGACTGAACTGGCAGAGGATGTGTCCTTGGTGCTTTTAATAGCACATATGCAATTACTTATTTTAAGATAGCATTAATAACTTAACAATTAGGGTTTATTTATATAAATATATATACATGAGTAAAAGGAATATATAAACCCACTTAACCCTAATACTGCCAACAGTTGCCAAAACTTGCTTTTAATAATCAGCTACATTTTTAGGGAAGATCACAAGAGGGCAGTATTTTATAGTTTTACATCTTATACAAAGGTGTAACTTCTGGCATAATATTGCCTTTAAAGAAAGAAAAAGCTTATAAAGCAATCAATTAAATATTACTACAGTAAATATAGGGCCTGTGTTAATTAATTTAAATTACCAGGGTTCTTATTGAGGGTAGCATTAGTTCTTAAAAGAATCCTTATAAATATGTTCTGGGTTTTGGTTTGTTAATTTCTTCTTTTTTTCCCCCACTTTTTATCATGGAGGTCAAAGCTAAAAGGATTACATTTGTTGTTAAATAACACATCTCTGGATCTTGCAGGATTTCACACCAAAAATTTCCAATTGTATTCTCCTAGGCACTATTCATTAATAGCCATACAAATACAGGTATCTGGTCTGTAATCTATAGAGTGTTTATATGCTTCCAAATATAAATGGGAACACTCTCTAAATGAATGTATTCAATTACTCCGTTCTAATTTTGGCAGAGAGGATATAAGTAAAGTATGTTTCAGGATACATAAAAAAGTGTGACCATTTTTTATGATTATTGTTCTGTCTGTATCCCAGAATGGATAAGGTTGGAGGGGACTACCATCTTCCTGCTCAAGCAGGATCATCCTAGAGCACATGGCACAGGATTGTGTCCAGGGGGTGTCTGAAAAACTCCCATGAGGGAGACTCCGCAGCCTCTCTGGGCAACCTGTTCCAGTGCACAGTCTCCTGCGCTAAAGTTCTTCCTCACATTCACATGGAACTTTCTGTCCATCAGTTTCTGTCCATTGCCTCCTGTCCTGCTGGTTGGCAGCACCCAGCAGAGCCTGGCTCCATCCTCTTGGCACCCCCTTCAGACAGACATTGATAAGGTCCCCTACCTCAGTCACTTCTGGAGGCTGAACAGGCCCAGCTCCCTCAGGCTTTGCTCTTAACAGAAGTACTCCTCCAGTGCCTTAATGATCTTTGCCATCCTCTGCTGGACCTGCTGCAGGAGCTCCATGTCTCTGTTGTACTGAGGAGCCCAGAACTGGGCATGGCACTCCAACCTCACTAGGGTGGAGTAGAGGGGCAGGATCATTTCCCTTGGCCTGCTGGGAATCCTCTTCCTAATGCATGCCAGGATACCACTGGCCTAGTTATACCATTGGCCATTGGTGTAATTGTAGCAAAACTTCCATAAAAATTTTTGTGCAGAGGGGTGACAAGCATTTTGTGCATGTCGTGTGAATAATTTTGTTTAAGGCTGTTTTACTCTTGTCTGTCCAATGAGTGATTCAGTTCTTACAGGAAGGGAAGTTGTTTCTAAATTGATGTAGAACAGTTATTAAAGAAATGCAAGTATCTGATGCCTTCTAAAACACCTTCTGACTAGTCTTGGTCAGAGCAAAGTTTCAATTTTTAAATGGGTCATGTTTTCACATAGAGAATAATATCACCTATTCAATTATTAAATCAATCATTGTATCATTTTTTGCTGAGGAGCTGGCTGAGGAAATACATCTTTAAAACCAACTGAACCAATTCCTGATTCAGCTCCTTCCCAGTATAAAATTGTCATGGAAGTTGGTAATTTTTTTTTTTGGAGGAAGATTAATACCAAATTGTTGCCTGTTTAGCTGTCTTTATTCACTACTGGTATGTAAGATGACCTTAGGAAAAAGATTTAGGCTTGGGTGGAGTGGAGCAGAGAACTAAAAACATAATCCAAGTTATGTGCTGTACATGTTTGCTATTTTTATTATGACACATAAAAGTGCTAAACTTTTTGATTACATTCACAGAAAATTATTTAGGAATAGTTACAAGCTCTAGCTACATGTAAGTGACCTGCACATTGCAAAATAGTCAAGATTACTCCTGAAAACCAAAGCAGAGTAAATAGAGATTTAGAGAATTAGAAAGCTGTGTGATGACTAGTTTCTTTTCACATAACTTAAATGAGTAAGTAATAGAATGGATGCTTCTTTCTAAACAATTGGTTATATTTTATGCATTAATATTTTTCAAGCAGTCCTTTTATTAAATACAAATACTGTAGCTATTATTTTCAAAACTTGATAAGTCTACAAAGAAGATTGTATTATGTACAAATGAGGTTTTTTGAAATTTCTGGGTTCGGTTGATAGTTGGTGATATAGAGGATAGTAACAAATTTTTTGATCAACAGAAGTCTAAGACACCTATGAACCATACAATATATGCAATATATGCACATTGCTGTAAAATAGCAGTACAGCTTCCTGTTTATTGATAACTTGGTTTTGTTCTTGTTTGGTTATTGTTTTAAAATAAGTTATGGATTTTCAGGTACATAAAAGGAAATTGGAGGGTTTGTTTTTATTGGGCTACATTTTTTAGCAATGCTTTACTCTGACTCCTTTAAATTATTGGCTTATGAAACCTCTAACCCAAGCATGTCCTCAGAATGCAGTGCTGATGCTTTACTCTTAACACTTCTTTCTTCAGCAGGTTTTCAGTACTGTAAAACTGTCTATTTCCAGTTGAAGTCTCTTGAAACACATTCCAAAGCAAACTAAAGCTAGAAACTCTATCCATCACAAAAATACAGATTCGAAAAGAGAAGAAAAGCAAGAAGGATTAAAGGGGGAAGTATGCTTGCTGAAATCTCATGCATTTGTGAGAGTGGTCAGAATGCATGAAATGCACATTGAGATTTACACTGACAGTTCAAATCAGTGATGCTCATAATTCTAACTTGCAAGTGTGGGGATGTGTTGCCAGTCTCACCAGTGCTCACCCTAATCCTCATACAAGCAGCTATCCTAATTTTTCTTCCTGTGGGTAACCTTACTTCAGAGTCTGGTCTCAACATACCTACTCACCAAATAGGAAATTCACCACTGGATTTGCTTGCATTCCATTGAATACAGAGTTTTTTCAAAGATTTCTTCCCTTCCTGCTCAGCTGTTTATTATCAACTTCTACTAATGAAATATTAAGTCTTAAAGGCAGAATACAAGACAAACTTATTTTGATTTTTCTGTATTCATTAATAAGAATGTTTACATAGAATGGAATAGAAGAGTATCTCTTTAAAAAATAGATGTCTGTCTGACCTCTGTTGATTCTTAAGCTTTCTTTAAATTTGAAAAGTGTATCAAATTTCTGGGGATTTTGCTTAATACCAGCAACATGTAATAGGGTAATTAGGGTTGGAAGTCTTCTACTCAGTCTTGTTGCTCACAATTTCTGGAGCAGAAGTGTCATCTTTTATGTGTATAGCCCATGGTTTACATGTTGAAAAGATATTTCTGCAATGCTTTTCCTTCCTGTGCATAATTGTTTACAATGAGCTTTTTAATTTGTCATTTATTTTAGGAAAGCACTTTCATGTTCTCTAGCAGGAATTTGCAGTTGAAGATGGGGATGTTACTTGTATTTGTATGCATACACTTCAGTCACAACAGTAATGATGGCCTAGACTTTTCACTTTGCCACATCAGGTGTAAGGCACCTCATGTGACATTGGTAAGTTCCAAGTTTTTTGTAGTTTTAAACTAAGGAAATTAGTACATAAATAAGAACAGTCCCTAATTAAGTTGTCTGAAGGCAAATGTTAAGAACTCTGAGAATCCAAGTTGTGCCAGTTGTCATGTCAATCAAATTACTATGGAAAACAATATTTTTTATTTCAGTTATGGCAGTGTCAATTTTTTTCTGCAAAACATAATGAAAAATCTTGCCAGATGTCACATATATAAGATCCCTTAAATAGAGAGAAAAACATATGAACTAGTTTTTTTCTTTCTGAGTTAGAAGAGATTTTTGGTTCGTTCTCATATTCCTTTATAAACCACTAAAGCAATTTGATTGCCTTTAGCTGATAATGCAGAGATGCAGCACTTTGAACTGAGCAGAGCATAAATTTTCCCAGGATGTGTTGAGGGCTGTGTACCTGTAAGCTCTTCTTTGGAACCCTTCCAAGGGCTTAAGGATTTTCAGAGAAACCTAAAAAGACTTAGGCCCCCAGAAAGTGATTATGGTGTTTAGCTGACTAAAACTTTGAATTACCAGCTGCTGGCTGTTACTGATTGAGCAGATAATCTGATTTACTGAGACTTTAACCCATGTAGGAGAGACATCTCTTGGTTGAGACGGACAAATTGAGTCACGCACAACTTGGTAACTACAGGCTCTAAACACTGTTCTGCACAGAAAATGTGTTTTTAATACACGAGCAGGCAGTAAGATAGCAGAGCACTGGTTGGCACACTCTCTAGTCCAAGTGCTAGCCCCTGTCACATGAGGATCCTTGCACTGGGAGTTGGCACATGTAGGTCTCTCTTCCCCCTGGGGTGACTTTCCTAGAGGACAGGGCAGAGACGTGCTGGAACTTCAGAGAAGCATCACTATGATACAGATCAGCAAGAGGCAAATTAGAATCAGGCAGAAATTCACAAAGAGCTCCTGGAGCCTTTGGCGTGCTTGTGGGTTGACCTCAATAGTTGAGGCTCTCCTCAGAGCGGAGCGGGTCATGTGTTGCACCTTCTCCATGGCAACAGGAAAGCAGAGGGCACAAATCAGAGGTTTTAGGAGTGCAGGAAAGAAGAGCAGTGGTCAGGAACAGTGCAAAGTGCCTAATATCTTCTCTTTGTTTTAGACAGCCTTTGCAGAGCTGGAAAGCGGGAAGGCAGAGAATTAGAAGTGCAGAAGTGTTTTTGAGTGTAAATAGAGATTGTAAAAGCAATCTGTTTATTTTAGACTTTTTAGAGCATTAAAACAAAGTTTTTAAGTTAAAACTGAATTTTAAAATGTTGGAGTTTTAATTTTAGATTTGTGTTGTGTTATGCTTCTCCTCCTGAAGACTACTGAGCACCTGCTTTTTAGCAGTGTTGACTAACGGTATTATGGAAATTGTGGATATCTGGGTTTTGCCCAGATTATTGCCTTAGATCCTAAGCTCTCTATCTCACACAGCTTCTGAAAAGACTGTGGCTGATTGCCTTTCCACACACACCTCTCTGCTTTATTTGTTCAAGAACTTCTGAAGGCTTGATGATAAGAGTAGGGTCACAGACCTTTTGGCCAGATCTGGATAGTCCTCCTGGCTGGTACTGACAGGGCAGATAACCTGATTTACCAGTACCTTTTGCTGGAACAGAGGAAAAGAATTCTTGTTGAAGTATTTCCATTCCAAGAAAAAGTTCTTGATGGTGGGCAATTAAAACCTAATGCATCACTGCTGTACGGAATTTTAGTAACATACTTCTCAACAGGCAAGACTGAGTAAGGACTAAATCTTTTTTTATGCATGTTGGACAGTGTGTTACAAATGTGGGTGCAAAGGCAGAGGACTGCTACAAGGAACAAAACAAAGCATTTACACAACTTTGTCTTTTAAGTGAGTGTTACATTTAAAGTGCATTTTTCCTATTCAAAGTTGATTTTTCCTGTATTTTTAGTGGCAGATGGAAGACAGGGTATCAGTTGTTTCAAAACTCTAAATAAGTAGTTGCAACATAAAACCTTCCTGTAAAAACCTTCCATGGCAAGAAGCTGGTTTTGATATATGCTTGTTTAGCTCATGGTGAGTTGGATTCTGAATGTAGGTGCTGTCACAATGTGAAAACTTGGTTTTTAAAATAATGATGATGATCTGTCCAACTTTGTTCCTAAAGCTGCACTTACCCATAAACATTTTATGAATTAATATTGTGTTCATATATTTCACAGAAGGCCTCTCCTTGTCATCACTTCATTTTGTGTTTTCCTGGAAATAAGTGAAGTTATATATGCCACATAGAGGAGGACAATTGCTTAGACGTCTGCTGCCCCAATTACATGACGATCCTGACTGCATCAGAGATGCTTTGCCCATGAATTTGTCTTTATATGTGGCTAAAATGGAACAACCTTAAAAGGAAATGAAAGTGTCTTTCAGACTCTTCCTTTTTTAATCCTTTCATGTTGGGCTGTAGAGTGAAATGTTACTGTATGGACAGAATGCATGTGTTCTCAGTGGCAGTGTTGGTATTTAAGAGACTTTCAAAAGCAATCAAATTGCGGATGGTTATTCTAATACCCTTAGAGGACTCCATGGGATGACATCTCTTTCTCAAACTGAACTTCAAATTTTGTTATGATTTTTTGAGCTGTAGTTGATCTTAACTTTATTGCGGAATAAAAACCATACACCAGAACATACTCTTGCAGTGACTACAGTTTTTCATCTTTGTTTGACTTTTTGCTGTACCTGTTTTCATCTATTTAAGCAGTTAAATGCTTGCCAAGTATATTCTGCTTAGATCTTTACTAGTCATGGTCTGTCCCAAGTGCAGTAAAAGCAAAAGGAATTCTAAAGTCTCTTGGCTGAATTCATATTCATTCTCCTAACCCAGTACAGGCTGGAGTGTGTTAGACTGTTTATCCTCTTGCAGACAAGTCCCAGTAGATGAACCACAAATGGATTTACATGGAGAGAGAGGAGTTTGTGTAACCAGGTTCTGTGACAGACACTGCTCAGAGAACAGCATTTCCTGTGGGTGACTTCATCACGGCATTTTATGTCATTTTTTCATTGTGAGGTGTGTGCAGCTCTTGGTCTTTGGGCTGTGTGTGACCTGTTGCAGCAACATTTATCTTTCCTGTTTTTTTTTTTTTTCTTGGGACCCACCGATGATTGGAGCAGCATCAATGTGTACTTGTGCACATGCAGAATAAATGTAAAATCCATTTCATTAGAAGGTAATGCAACCCTACTGCATTAGGTGTAACTGCACTCATGCTGGCACCTGCACTGCAGTGTTGCTGCATGACTCAAAGGGCCACAAGGCCCTGGGGCTCTGAAGTGCTTCCATAAAAAGCAATATTATCTGGTTGGGCAGCACAGATGCAAGGCCAAAATGGATTTTTAGACGTGACCAGAAGGGGATACAAAACGATCTTAAAAAGTGGAAGGTAGCATAAGTTAAGATCTTTATACATCATACAGCTAGAAGACATTGTAGAGAAGGGATGAGGAGAGGACAAAATAGATTGAGTTTCTTGATTTAATAGTTTATGTGGTTTTGGAAGTTTTTGAAACATCTATGTGTTGTTTAACCTCCTGTGTGTGGAGTAAGTTTTCTTGTAAGCAGAGGAAGCCAATTCTGTGTCTGTTTGAAGCCAAATCTCTGTCTGTATTTCAACAAGTTTGTCTTTACAAGTGCTCGGGTTCAACTAATAAATACATACCTTGCTTGTTAATCCTCCATGGCGCTGTCACCCACCTAAAGTGTGCAGAAAGAGAAACAGATTCAGTAACACAGCTGCATACAGGCTATCAAGGTCAAAATGGACAGCTTGGAAAATACTTACACAGAAACAAAGACTGGTCATTGTCACAAATAGTAACTGCTCTCTGCTGTTCAGTGCCCGGTGTTTTAGGCCAATATGAAGAAGAATTGGTCATGCAGACACCACTTCTTGAAACAAACGTGCAGCAAAAGGGCAAATTATATCGGATATTTTTTAGGAGTCACAAAGTGTGACTTGTGTGACAAGACTGAGCATCATACAAGAGGAGCAGTTGGCTGCATTGCTGTGCAGTTCTGTTTTATGAGTGCTGCTGTTAATGGATGTGCAAGGCTTGTCTTAGGCACAGAGTGAATCTGCATAAGATGTCTGGTGGCTGACCCTCTATGTTACTATGTAGGGATTCCCTACACTCCATACTTCAGAATGAGTCACTGATCACAGTTATTGCTTCCCACTTCACTGACATGTGACTGTTTCCCTGATTTGTATTAGGTTATTTTTATCTTTGTTCCTGGGTGCCCTTCACAATGAGAGAGGGTATGTAACCAAAGTGAAAACTGTGGGCCATTTCTGGTGCAACTGCATTGACTCCTTTGAAGTCACACGGGATAAATTTGGCTCCCTTGGAAATGCCACAGCCTGTTTCCTCTCATACGTTCACTAAATGCAGCAGTGATATCAGTGGAATAGAAGAAGTTTGACTTACTTGAATTCTTGCAGTTCCGCATGACCAAGGGAAGCCCTGAGGGGCTGTTAAAGTTATGCTGCATAAGTCTATTGCATAGATTTTTAGAATGACATGACCCAAAACCCCAGTAATTCACTTCTATTCATTGGAAAAAAAAGTCTTACTAACCATGGACATAGTGATGGAAAAAGTACATAAAGTTATGTTGATTAAAGATTTAGGCACTGACTTGTTGCATATAATATAATTTTTCAGTCATATGGAGACAATATTGCCTTGGGATGGGGATAGAAGCAACAATTCAGCTTATAGTTTGAAAAGTGCTGGTAACAGGAAAAGCACACTCATTTTATCATTCTCTTTACCTTTTGTTTGTTTTGTACTGAAGTGTCATGCGTGTTTCAGAGAGCATAGGGGAAGACTCACATTTCAGGTTATTATTTTTCCCCCTCTGACAAATTCATTGTTTCTACAGTTTTCCTTCTGAGTAGCTTTGATGTTTTTGGTGTTCTAAGACACAAGACCAACAGTGAGAGCCTCTACTTGTATTTCAAGTCCATGAGAATGTGAATGGTGTAGGTGACAAGAAATTACGCTGATGAATAGTTGAACACACCAGTCATTTTGGGTTTTGAAATTTATCTACATATCTTGTGGGTAACTGGGACTTACATGTTTGCTGGTCCATTAGAATAGCCTGGGAGCCAGTGCTTTGGGCTAGTTTTTAAGTTGGTTAAATTCCCTGCAACTGCTGCAGGACCATGCAGTGGGATCTTGGACAGGTTCCTCAATTTTCATACTCATCAAAACATCCAGTTCCCCTCATCAAAACAAGACATAAAATAACTGTATACCGATTCCAATCCGTTGATGTGATCTGCCTTTTACTTACTAAATTTCTTTCAGGAAATTAAGTCCATGCTCTACTGCGTTCACTGATTATCTAACAATGTTAATGAGTTTTAGCTATGGTGGTTCATAATGTCCCTTTAATAGGAAATAGTCTAAGTGCAAGTTGTATTAAAGTAAAAATTAAAATACATCTAGCATGTATAAAAGGTAGAAGTGGAAAGGGATGTTCCAAGTTTTGTTTTTAACCTTCTACATGTCAGGGAACAATGAAAAGGCATTGATTGAGAAGTATATAATAGATAAATTCAACTTCTGTGAAGTTACTTGATGCCAGGAAGGTCCTGTTTAGCCTTTTTTCAATCTTCAGAAAGTAAAAGCAATGTTCAGTTCTAAAGTGTCTTGTAGTTTTAGGGAACAGAACTTTACTTCCCTGTGGGATTTTTTATTTCTCCACCTGGGGTACTTTTTTTATTCCTAAATCAAATTATTCTTAAAGCAAACAAAAAGTTGCTGGGGTAGTTCTGTACATGTATCCCATTTTTGTTTGCTGATGGTCTGAAAAAGCAGTGAAAATCACCTTTACACTACTAGTTACAAACTGATGATTTCAGTGAGTTTCTTGCTGGAAAGCACTATGGAGGCACTATATTCCTAACTTCCTCAAAGAATGAGAAATAAATGCAGCTTTTAAAAATAAAAATGTGGTAATACGTGAATCTGAATCTCTCTTAAATAACAGTTGCGCTGTTGTCTTGACAAATGAGTAGCAAAAAAAAAAAAAAAGGGCAGAAAATTGCCTGCTGTAAATTAAATGCCTAATTTCACATTGATTTGTAACACTTATCACCTGTCCTGTAGCACATGCCTCTGTCATGACTGTAGGTTGTTTCTCAGGGTTTGGATATCTGTGACATGGGATGTTATAAGTGTGAAATTTTTAAATTTAATTTAACAGCTGAGCCACTATCTCATCTACATTAAATTACTGAACTCTAACCAGATAAAATGAGAGATGATGGGGCAGCTGACCTGCTGTAGCTATGGGATGCATTCCAGCTTCTACGGAAGAGCTGCCTATAGCAGTTAAGTGTTGGTGTGTATGTTCAATTTATGTGTGTATTTCTAAAGGTCTGCATATGCAATATTTGTGGTAGAAGAGAAGGATTCTCTGGGTGGTAGAATACACCTTAACTGCTCTCTTCACTTGAAAATACATTTTTTGTATAACTTCAGCCTTGAAAAAAATCTGCCTCAGATTCTTCTTGCTCTTTGTAGGCACTGGGAGGTCTGAAGTGCTGCTTCTGCCTACTGAAAACAGCTTCTAGAGAACTCTGTACCAGATTGTTTGCCTCGGGAGTAACAGCATGTCCAGACATTTCTCTCACTTTAATATTCAAAAATGGCTCAAGGCTGCTGAGCACAAAACCAAGCACCTGGATCTATCTTTGCCTGATGCCTGCCAGTCACTAGGAAAAGGAATTGAGTGTATCTGTTCACTAATAGGGAAAACACACCTCACAAAATTAAAAGTCTGTATTAGGTTTGTGTCTTCTATAACCACATGTAGACATAAGTAGTAAGGTGTCAATTGATGAAAGGGGGGAACAAGATTGTAAGGAGCATAAGTACCTTAGAGACATGCATATTCAAAAATTGTATTTCTTTTTAAAATATTTGTATAGGTAAATATTGAATGTTCTCTATGTGACATGTTTCTCTGAGATGCACCTTATTTCACTGATTTTAAAGCTGGGATTGTATTGCATTGTACAACATGTCTGTGCTTCCCTTAGAAATAGGAGGGTTCTTTTCTGCATTTGAAATTCAGTTCATGATGTTACAAATCCTAGCTGAATTATTTCTCAATTAGAAGCAATCTGGGGCAAGTGTTGAGTTAGTTACAATGAACATCAGGAGAAAATGAAATTTTAATGGATGTCAAAGCAAAAACACTATGTGGATTCTGTAGCTTGAACTGTGCTTAGAGTAACATGGTATAATTTCTGTTCTAGTAGTGCTATAAATCACTTAAATTTTTAAATTAAGGGTAATTTTTCATCATACAGCAAAAAAGTTTTGCTCTCTTAATGTGTTAGATCAGAAACATGTTTTACAGAGTTAATGGTGAAAGAGCTTCTTTACCCTTGCCAGTCTGTGAATAGGCAGCTTTGGGAAAAAGAATGCCTCTACAGAACTTTGAGAGAATTATTCTCTTTGTAGATTTTGGATTAAAACCCAAGACCAAACAGATAAAAGATAAAACAAGCAAAAGGTATTAAATTTAAAAGGAAAGGCAAAGGTGTGAGAAACATGATGAAACCTTCTCACCTTCTTGTGCAATACCTGTACAAATCACATACCCAAGGACAGCTGGTGTCCTATGAACATATAGGAAATTATGTTGCCTTTACTGTTGCTGAAAGACTCCCCGCAGATCAGCATATCTTTGACTCAGAGCTATAATGCCTACATTTCCATGTTTTTGATAAACACTTAAAACCAGCTGTTAATTTGAGTAGAGGAGGTTTTTTAGAAAAGTACAGTTACAGCATGCCTTCCTGCAAGATTTAAAAGATAACACAGAAGAGAGGTTCCTTACCCCTGGTGTGACTTGGTGAAGCACAGAGGAGCTTGCTCCGGGCTGTGGGATGTGCCTGCCGATCTCTGGCAACTTTTCCGAGTCTGTGACCAAGCTGTGGAAACAATTGAAGTAGGCTGAGGGGAAAAAAATAACAAAAGTTTCAGAGGCAGGACTCTCAGTGTCACTCAGCAGCTCACAAGTTGATTGGTCCCATTTGCCTTCTGACACAGGCAGTGGCTGCTCTGAGCTTGTTCCCAGCAGAAATGTATTAACATGGGCAGCATGGGCAGCATCTTTCCTTTTGTGCAGGGACCTGTGTGCCAGGGAGACCACCTGCTCAGTCACAGGATGAGGGAATCTGGGAGGCTGCATGCTTCAGGAGGGTGGCAAAGGGAGCTCTTCCCTGACACCCTGCCTTTTTTAAAACAGGGACTTAAATGGGAGCTTACTCAGGGAGCTGCTGTGGATGTGTTCCTTTTGCTACAGAAATGTTTCTTTTTTATAGGAAAACCTAAATAGTGGGGGCTCATACATTTCTTGTGGGTGTTTGACTTGGAATGGTTTTCTTTTGTCCAAGGTATTTTTTAAACTACACTTTCAATATATATGGTTGTGATAATTCTGTTACATACCTGGTATTCAGTTTATAGTGCATGATGAATGCTTCCCAAGATAATCTTTCTTCTCATAGTGCTTAAACTGAAATAACTTTTCTGCATTTCAAGCCTCTTCCAAACACTAATGGGTGGGTTAGAGGATTTTTTTTCCAAATCTGACATATGTAAGTTCATCTTTGAAATTTATCATTACTATATATTTTGAAGTATTTATCTTTCCTTTAAAACACACTTCCACATTTTTTCTTCCTCTCCCACTGTGGCTGGAAACTATTTAAGTGAATTTTTTGAGAACCTTTTCTCTTTGTTTGGATAGTAGTAGCAGATTGATGCTACTTTACAGGTTGTCTTACGTATATTTTCCTGTGTTGAGAAGTGACAACGTAATGCATATATGGAGTAGGTTTGGTGCATTGGGGAAGTGAAGGATTTACTGGATGCAAAAGGATTAAGCTGTCAAGGGAGAGCATCCAGCATCAGGCTTTCTGTGTGGATCCAACTGACAGCGTGGGCCATTTCCTCTTTGGGAAATTGCAGGCAAAAGTACAGAAGCTCAGCCAAACTCTGAACACTTACAGATTCAGTTTTGACAATAATTGTTTAGCATAGATGAGTGCTTGGCTTTAAGCAGGAACCCAGACAGGGTGAGGTTTTTTTGTTTAGTTTGGGTTTTTTGTTCCCTGGAAGCCCTGCTACAGTACATTGTTCAAACCAGAGACAGAAGGGCTTTGGGGGTGATGTACAACCCTGTTTCAAGTTGAGCTCTGTTTTTATTTTTGTAAATATGATTTAGCTCTTCTGCAAATTGTTTATGTCACAGTTGAAGTTAGCAGTTTGGTTTTAATATCATAAATCTGCCTGCTTTCAGTTGTCCTTTCGTATCAAACCCAGGGAGTCTGGGGCCACATATTTCAGTTGAAAGTTAATTGAATATCTTTACAGTGAGGAGTAATGGTGCTTTACTGGTGCAAAGTGTTTCATAATTTACTTATAATGGCATTATTAATGTTATAAATCTCTCACAGTCAAGCAAACTGTATTTGGCTTTTTTATGAGGGAAGTTTCATGTTTTTATTGTATGCTGTCATCCAGGAAAAGTGCTAGCATTGGATTGTTGGCTTTTTTATGAAACTTGTACTATTGAAATTCACCCTCTATATTTTGTTATGAAGTCCAGCAGTACTGCAGCACTGCAACAGCTGCAGTGCTGTTCCTCCCTTTTACAAAGTTGATGTAAAATTGTCATGTCATTTAGTTACACTACCCCAAATTTTTGGGTCTTTTGGTTAATGAATTGGAGCTTTTTAGAAATGAGATACTTTAAGAGAATTTGGTTTTGTTTGTGAGCTGCTGACACAGCCATAGCTTGGTCTCTATCTTACAGTGATACCTAAATGTACAAACTAAGGCACTGAAAAAATACTAGGATTTCATCAGAAACATAATACACATCTTCTCTAAATGTCAAGTCTAATAAGAATTTTAAGATGGAAAATGTATTTGTCAAATAGCAATAACATAACATAAATAGCAATAACATGTACAAGTTTAGATCCACGTGAGTGTTGTAGATGTTGTATTAATGTTGTTTGTCTAAAAACAAGCTTGTTTAAGAACACTCTTTTGAGAACATTTTTCTAGTTCAGGTTAGTTATATTCACTCATGTAACTCATGGAGGTTTTGGGGGGGTTCTGAGGCAGATGCCAAAGTACTGCTTTATGGGACATGTCAAGTCTGACAAGTACAGACACAATATATGAGCACATCGTACTGTTTTCGTTCACTCCTGGGTGAACAGGTCCAGACACCCGTGGGTATGAGAAAGGAAAAGCTTTAAAAAAGGAATCTGTGTTGAAGGTTTTGGTCTGCTGCGTTTTGTTCTGGGGAACAAAAATGTGCAGCTGTTGCCTGCTTGACCTTAAATAGAGATGATCTGGGCTTTCTCCAGGGGGATTAGGAATCTACCACTAGAACATGTTTCTTTTCAGAAATTATTTAGAGATCCGGTTGATGTTTGGAATAATGTCTAAAATGAGATGTGTTGTACTTCAGCATACGAGCTCCTTTATTTAAATAATAATTATGAGACTTCTATTCACATTGGTAAGAATTTCCTGGATTATTTTTGCCTTTCTTGTGCTAGTTTTCAAAATTCCAGCTGTAGACACTGGCCACCTGTATAATCTGCAAAGAGTTTGAGGTGTCACTGTCTGGTCCACTGATAAACATGATTCTGTATAGAAATGGACTGCGACCCAAGTCCAATTGTTTATAATATACAGGTAAAGAAATTCAGTAGTGGAGTACTCAGAATACTCCTATGGAGTACTGGAATCAGTGAATTTTTTCATGATGCTGCTGCAGTTTTCTGTCACACTGCAAAAGTGCCTCTGTGATCTCACACAGCAGAAGTTCTGTGTTGAAATGTTTGGTTTAACAGTAACAAAAAACACACAGAGGGGAGATCTGCATGCTCCCACAAATGCGCATTAATTTGTGTGTATGTGGGACAGAGTAGCAGAGTTTGGTATTGAAGCTGAACTCTAAAATGAGATCTTTCTTTTTTGTAACCAGTAGTTTTCTGGCCTGATTCTATGATGGTTAATTTCTTGTAGTCATCCAGGTATTAGCAGATGTGGCTTACAGGACCCTTTTTAAGGTTCTCTAAAGAGAAAGGAGCTAATGTATCCTTCAGTTGCATTTGTGCTGTGAGCCTAATACATCCTAAAAGAAAATGTGAGTTTTTCCCTCCTTTAAAAGTACAGAAAAATCAGTATTTTCAGTGCTGATGTGAATAGCATTCCAGAATCACACCAGATAGGGTGACAGCCTAATCGATTGAGAGGTAACTTTTTTTAAATGCATTTAAGATATTTTTTCTTGAATTTCATAGATTTACGACCATTTGCTTGTATATTTTACCTGATGGCTCCTTTAATGATTATCTGACTTCAGTGAATCTCACTCACATCCGTAGTCTCAAATCTATCTTCTGGGTTTATGTGGAGGAAGTTGCCTTTCTGAGGCTGCAGATGTTCCTGCTTTTGTATAGTGAGACTTATGGTCTTTGTTAGCGTTATAGCAAACAGCTCTGCTGAGAAATCTAGGCTTTGCATCATGTTATTTTCCTCTGGGACAAGACGTATTTATTTTCCTAACCATGGGACAGACGTTAAATTAGTTTGGTCTTCGCATTTTTTCCTTTTTTACAAGCAAGATGAAATTACTTTTTGAGGCAGCAGTTTATAAAGCATACCATTGCAAAGTGATTAGGAAAAAGTATAAAATAAATTAATAGAAAACTTGGTCTGAAATATTTCTCTTTTTGGAAATGGTGAATGCTCTGGTAGTAGTAGTCATCAGATTTGTTACTGACCAAAGGCATTTTTTGAAAGGTCCTCTTGAATATTTTTGTTTCAGTTGCTGTTACTGGCACAAATCTTAAATTATTAAAGTAGAGCACAGGGTGCAGAAGTGTGTCACGCCTGTTTATTGTCTTTGGTGCTTTGACCCAGTGTTAGAAGAGAAGGGAAACAAGAAGTTTTGCCTGGCTCTTGCTCTGAAAATTGGCTATGTCCTTCCTCTTCCCAAACCCCATTAGGAAACATTTATTTCATGTGGAGACAATACAATTAGCACAGATGACCCATGTAGCTGGTTTATTTTGCTACAAAATATTGACAGCACAAAAAGCTGTGTTCTTATAAATACCTGGTGGCTTTCACAGTGATGAAGTTTACCTTTTTACTAGGTTAATGAAGGTCAAATAATTTACTATAGTAGTTATCTTCAGTGATGCAAAGTGTCTTCAAAATAGCAACATGAGACAGGATAGGAAATTCAATGATCTTCTTTACAGGGAAGATTCTTTATTTCTGTGAAATGCCTGGGAACACTGTATTTTAGTGCTTACTGGTGTCCTCAATTGGTTAAGCTGAACAATGTGCTTTAGGTGGTATGCCGAGATCCTTATACCTAAGAAACTGTGTTGAGTGTCTTTCAGATAAACTGTTCTGGGAAGCACTGAGATTAGTTGTGTTATTTGACATGTTGTGAGTGATGGATGAACAGCGGGACAAAGGCACATGAAGGAGAGATAAAGTTGGAAGACCACGTTTCAGTTGCCAAGTGGTGGTGCTGGATTATCTCCACTTGAAAGCGTAACTGCAGAATCGAGGAGAAATTATTGGGCTTTAGCTTTTGCTGCTACCTATCTTCAACTGAAAGTTGTCCTAACAGAAATGCATAAATATTGCCCAAATGATGACTGTTTTGGCATCATTTAGAAGCTGAAAGATTCTCTTGTGCAGATTATTGCAGTGATCACCCTCAGGTAGTGTGGAGGGGCAGCAGGTAGAGCAGTGGCCTCAATGGGCATCTTGCCTCATGGGGGTCTTCATTCAGATCAACATGCAGATGGCATAAATCAGGCTTTTAAAGCATTGTCAGGCTAATTTTCACATGGCCCTACTTTGAGAAGTGGGAGCCAGCAACATCTTTCTTTCTCTTGCTTGGTGTTACAGAATGGTGTATGTCTTTTCTTCACTTCTTCTTTCCATTGCTCTGAAGTCCGGGGTTTTTTTTTCCTCTTCCCTCTATTGAGTGACTATAAATAAGACTAATTCCCATGGTGAGCATCAGCTATCTATTGCTCAGTATCTTTGTTTCATGCAAATCATAGCTAAAACAGGGGAAAAAGCATTCAGCAAAAAAAGAACTCCAGAAAATTAGGATCCTGA